TCTTATAGTCCAGCTCTGTAGGCGTGGAGTCGCTCCGAGCTCCTCAAACAGAACCGACACTCCTCAATTGATGTTTTTTTTTTTTTTAGCACCAGGCCATAAAAGACAGTTTGTAACAAGTGTGAACCATTATTTTTGTCTGAATGCCGGTCCGTGTTCATTTAAGCTTTGGGGTCACACAAACCCACTTTTTCAGAGACAAAACTGCTCTGCTAAGTAAGTCTATCATACTGTGGCGCCTCATTAGCTCCTCACAGAGCGCTTCATACAGCTGGCAGCGTCTGTGTGCCCAGCCATCTACCAGAGCGCTTCAATAGAGCTGAGGGAAAACAGCATATCCTTTGTAACATCAAATGTGTGAGAAACTGGGCGAAATGTGGTACTGCTGGACGCTTTCTATGAAAAAGTCTGACACACCCAGTTAAGAAAACCATATTCACCTATGGCATATATGAGTTGCTCTTTATTCCGGGTCTGGCGAGGGCATTTGCTGTGACCTTTTACTCAGGTGCTGCTCATCCCTCAAGGCAGTATCTGTTAGTGTACCTCCCCGGGCGAACAAGGATTTTGGTTTCTCTCGTGGAAAGCTCGAACTGAGATAGATATGCTTGATTTATTTTGCTTTAATATCTTTTAATATTTCTTTTTCCCATGATATCTTATCCCGTGATTAAGTTTGTCAAGTTTGTATTTACATTTGTATATATATATATATATTAGGGCTGTGCAAAAATAAATTGCGATTAATCGCATCCAAAATAAAAGTCTGTGTTTACATAATATATATGTGTATGCTGTATATAATTATTTTGTGTATATAAACACACACATGCATGTATATAGTTAAGAAAATGTGTTATTCATATATAAAATATTTATATAATATAGATTATGTATTTATATACACAGAATTTAAGCGCAAATAATTCTTAAATATATATATATATATATATATATATATATATATATATATATATATATACATGCATGCATAGGTATTTATATATACAAAATAATTACATACAGCACTCACAAATATATTATGTAAACACAGACTTTTATTTTGGCTGCAATTACTTTTTGCACAGCCCTAATATATATATATATATATATATATATAATATAATATAATATATATATATATATATAATAATTTTTACAGGGGAAAAAAATGCTACATTGCTGCTCCTAGATTGACACATTGCATATGATTTATTTTATATCAAAATTGTTTTCTGTTATGTAAATTACGTTAAAGTGATTTGTGTTACATTTTCATTTAGTGTTGTGTGTTGCTCTGGCTGTGTTTTTTCATTGTGTGGATGACTTTTGCAGCGTTTGTACGCGAGTTGCCATTTTCACCATAAATTTTAAAAGGATATGTTTGTTTGTTCATTTCCATTGACTAATGCTGGTAATTTTATAATGGTCAAATGCTGGCCAATTAATTGAACAGTCTACAGTTGTTGTTTTTTTATTTTATTTAATAAGTAGGCTATTGTAGTTGCATTTACACTACTTAATTTTAGTATAAATTCACACCAATACTAAACAGTTGATTTTATGGGTCAATGAGTTAATTAAGACATGAGTTCATGTATTTGGCTGAGTGCATGTTTAAGGTCGGTTTCGTGTTTTGAATAAAGATCTTAGACATTTTTCTGTGAAATATTTGTATCTTGAGTCCAAATTCTCAGAGATTTCTTATCTGAACTTCTTGTTTATCACAATAACGCATATTTTGTTTTCTGGTCTGTGTACGGTAATGCTGATAAAATGCTTTGACAGAACATACTACCAAAACATACAAAACATGATTTTGCTCTAAGTGGTACAGCGGTGATGTGATGGTTTGGTCATGCCTCAATTCATGTACAACCCCCTTAGCATGATGGTTCAGCTTATTCAATTTGCACCAATTTGATCCTTCAAATTTTGGTCGCTCTGTGGAAATAATCGAAATATCTGTCATGTTATTTTAAGACCCACTGAGAATCGCACAGCTCCAGTCTGCAGGCAGTGATAGGGCACCGTTTCCTGTATTGTAAAGAGATCTGTTTTCTTTTATGTCACTAAAGTACCACAACAAAGTTAAATGACGCCCTCAGCAATGGTAGATTGAATTGTTGTTGATTTGCTTAGGAAGTTTAGTTCGTAAACTGGTATTTGGGAGGTCGACTGTAGTGAAAGTTTACAAAGAGAATTATTCAGATCAAAATGAAACGTTTTTCACATTTTCTACTTCCGTAATGTGATGTATTTTTGAGTGAAATGGGATTTACATTGAAGAAATGTGAGCCAGGCCTTGATTTTATCCATCGGGAGTTGCTTGAATCCTGAAAGTTGAAACTTCTCTGCCTTTGTTATAGAAAGTACTCATTTCAGAGGCTGAGCATTTTATTATTCTACATAATGCGTAAAGATTATGAGGGCAAACATTGTTTGTTTTGTTTTGAATTGCATGCATCGAACCATTCACAGTAAATTGCTTTAAGTAGTAAATTATGTATTAAGAAAGTAATTGGGATTTATTTGGATTTCATGTTGACTTTTAACCAACTAAGTTTTTGGAGCTTGTACTCTAACATGTTGAGCTGTTGGATCTGATGATACACACTTACTCATATCCTTAGATGACCTACATTCATGTCTTCTGGTTTAAGTGCACTAATTTCACAGGCTAGTGAACAGACAGAAACTCCCAGGCTGGGAGTCTCTCAGTCTGGACTCAAGCAGGCAAGCAAGAACTTATGCGTGGGCATCTAGAGAGGTGACAGCAAATTGTTAATGTTATACACATCAGTAAAGGCATCTGACTCATTTATGGGTGCATTGATAGAATTTTTTTGGGAAAATATTGATAACTCAACTGCTTGTTGTGGTAGATACTGATACCAGCAGTGTCATCTGTGAAAATTTAAACGAGTTAGAGTCAGGATCATTATTTGAAGTAGATGATCCTAATTAAAACACAAAGAATGAATCGAATTAAATGAATGTGTTTTAAAATGGCAGTGACTCTCCCATCAGGTACAGTAGGGAATGCCAGGATATTGCTGTCCAGACCATCACTGATAGATATATTTCACCTAAATTCCCATGGATGTGGGAAAGACAGCGAAGATGGACTTATCAGAGAACAATACATGTTTCACATTGTCCATTGATTTGCACTGCTGGCACCAATGTAACCAACATTTGGCATTGGCACAAGTGACAAAGGTTTAACTATAGCAGCCCGACTATGAATCTATTGCTCCTGATAAACAGTTTTGTGGAAACAGGAAATACAATCCGGGTTCCATCTTTTTCAGACGGCTTCCTCTTGCGTCAACTGTCACTCCTGTTGTGGTTCGTCCTACGTGGTGGTATGCCGACATTAGCCTGTATAACACAGCTCTCCATACATACACCACAGGGACTTGCTGTCTTGGTCACAGACGAGCCAGCGAAACGCACTCCAAGCATTTGTCCTCTTTTGAACTCTGATAGGTCTCCTATTATGAGTGTGGATTGCAATACTTGTACAGCTTTGCTATCACTCTGCTAATTCAGCTTTCACTGTCTGCTCTTACTGATGGAGTGTAAAATTAGTGAAGATTGGCCACCAGGCCAGTGATGCCACACATATATAGATGTGAAACCTCCAACACTATATTTGCCAGTGTTTCAGTTTCATGGTCCAATCCCTGTATGCATACCGCATATACCGCACACACAACAAAAGTAAAACTGTTCGTATTATGATGACTCTGTATTATGACTCAGTATTATTATCACTGTTGACAATATGGATTCAAATAATTTAATGTATATTGGTGGTAATAATAATAGTATTTTCCAGGTTATCTCTATGTCATTTATCAGTTATTTTTTATCATTATGCACAATATATATATAATTATGCACATTATTTGAATGATTGTAATCAACAGATAGATAGTCTTTATGCCCCTTTATCTGAACTCTTTTATATGAAGAGTTCAGATGCAAAAGCCTCTAAGTGCCATTTGAAATTTTCTTCTAGAATGATCATTTTTATCAAGCTTGTATATTTAAGTTCAGTGATTTCACTTAAATGGCAATGACGATTACCTATTAATTGTTATTTAAGTGAAATTACTGAACTTAAATATACAAGTCTGATAAAAATCATCATTAAAGAAGAAAATTTCAAATGGCATTTAGAGGCTTTTGCATCTGAACTCTTCATATATATATATATATATACATTTTTAGAAATGCTGAAAAGAAAGCTATAACTCCAATAAAAAAGTTCAATAGTACACTGTAAAAAAAATATTTTTTATTTTTATTTAACCCTTATTTAACCAGGGAAATCCTTTGAGTACAAGTCTCTTTTGCGAAGGAGCCCTGGCCAAGAAGGCCGCAGTAAAGGTTCCACATAAAATACAAAATAAAAATAAAAACAATAAACATACAGGACATAGTAAATACATTAACAATTACAATGCTTAAAAAGTAAAATACAATGACCTTACAACAGTTAAAAATACTATGTAACAAATTAAAATATTATACACTTATCCTAATTTGGGAAGCAGGGACAGGTGCCCATTGTGGCTGTTTCCTGAAACTTTACTAGCCTCTTAAAGTGACCAAAGGAGACCAAGTTATCAAATATTGTTGGTTTAACTTAAAAAAATTAAGTAACCTGGTTGCCTTAAATTTTTAAGTTGAATGAACTAGAAAAAGTGAGTTAATACAATGATGGAGATTGATTTAATGATCAGAAACTCAAAATAATAAGTTATCTCAACTTAATAAATTATTTAAGTTGATTTGACAAAAGAAAAAATGTTGTGATAACAAATCTTGAAATTTTTATTTTTTTTTTACAGTGTGCAATTTTGAAATCTTGGAAAGGGAAAAATATTATTTACTGAAAACATTCTGGAAAGGCAAAGTGGTAAAATCGTCTATTTCCTTGCAATCATTTTGTGTATAAATGTGTGTAAATAAATGTGTGTTTTTTGCAGCTGAAGTGGAGCACAGGATGCAGAGTTAACACCACCCTGTGTCTCGCAGAAGAAGCCCGGCTGCCAGACCCTCAGCAGTAGACACATGGCGGCAATAGGGGTAAGTGTAGCGCATCACTTCCTGATTTTAACAATCTTAATTAGTTCACCCTCATTTCCTTTGTGGTTTCAATCTCATATCTTTTTTTTTTTTTTTTCATAAAATGAGATATTTGGCAGAATGTCCAAGCTTCTGTTTTTTTGCAACACAAAGATAAATTGTGATTCGTACTGCTAGGCTTCAAAAAGGTCCAATGAAAGCAATCCACATGACTTGTGTGCTATATTCAAAGATTATATTCTTTGTGTGAAGCCTGAAATTCAGCAGATGAAAAATTTAAGTCGTTATTTATTAATAAAATAAATCCTGCACTCGAGCTCACAAACCTCATTTGTGCTTGTTTATAAAAAAACTGGGACGTACCATGTAACAGTTTGTCTATAACGCCCCATGATCCTTGTGTATTGCTCACTTTTTTCTCCCCCTCAGAATAATGTATTTAGACTCATGGGTAAATGAATGGCTTTGAAGCTCCAACTTTTATTGAAGCCCGCTAATGTGAGGGTGTAATATTCACTGCAGCCCGTGGCAGTTCTCTGTCCTCATTTGACACTGCACTGATTATGTTATTGCAAAATGGCTAGTGGCTGAATTCATGAATTCATCTTTTATGAGGAAGTGCCATAACATGAAACACCTGTGGTTATGCCTTACTGAACACATTTTGCCTTATTGCAGTGCTAGTAGTGCTTCTCTTTCATCTCTACACACTTTTCTACACTGAAGTAACTTCAGATCCAATGTACAGAACTCATTCAGAGTTTTTGTAGTTTTACAAGCTATCAGGGAACATTATTTCAAAGACTTTTAACATGTATTAATATACATATATGTAATGATGAACCATGCACAACAAGATGGGGAATTAAAAGTGGTATGTTTAATCTTCATTGTTGATGTTTGTGCAATACTAACTTCCTCTCAATATTAATACAGCCATTTATTCATATCTGGTCAATAGAGTCGTCTGGTTGCTTCACACGGGACTTCCCAAAACAATCAACATGATTTGACTTTTAAGTGGCGGGCGACTAGGAATTAGCCAAATGAAAAACAGTTTTCTCTGAAAACATGAAAATGACACTTGTTTTTAACATTATGTTTTGATGTAAAATATGGAAGCATTAATGAGTTGGGATATACACGCATAACAATACAGGTTCTCTATTGGCATTGATGGTTCCATGAAGAACCTTTAACATCCATTCAACAAAAGGTGGTGTCTTTAGATTTGTAAAATGTTCTTCACAATAAGAAAGGATGGTTCTTTTAAGAATTGTTTTCTGAAAGGTTCTTCTATGGCAAAGTTAAAATCATTGTTTAGCCTTTATTTTTAAAAGTGTAGGGTTGACCCTAATGACCTATGAGATATCCATCGTGGCCCCTAAACATTGGACCTTATTTATTAGTAATTAATGCAGATCTTTTGATGAAAAACTTGTTAAATTGCGTTTTATAGGTTTGGATTGTGGTTTTGTGACATGTTTTTAACCTCTCTTTGTCCTCCATTTCTCTCTCATCCAGAACCCCGAGATGTTAACCAGGAAGATCAAACTGTGGGACATCAATGCCCACATCACCTGTCGTCTGTGTGATGGGTACCTGATCGACGCAACCACGGTCACTGAGTGCTTACACACCTGTGAGTGTTATTTCTACACCAATATCTACTCTTTATTTTAGTTAAAAGCATTATTTTGAGTGCTATTTACATTTATTTACATGTGAATTTTTAAGAATTTAATTTAATTTTGACGTTTAATGAAAGCTCTCTTTGGCATTTTGAAGTGAGAATTAGTGATGTCTGATTTGTATACAAATCATTATTTGAGTCAGATCTTTTCTGATGAATGATCTGGTTGACAAAACCGGTCCAAACGAATCGTTCATGAATCGGACTGATTCAACTCTCTGGCTCAATCCTGAAATTGCATACTAGCCTACTATATATAGTATTAGGTGAAAAACAGAATGTAAAAAAAATAATTAAGTCTGAATTCACAGCAAAAAGTACACGGATGACCTACTTCTTCTGGTGAGATTCTGAAGTGTGAAAATTATGGACACTTTACTCTCCCATGAGGCCACGAGAAAGGATTTGTGAATGGCAGTAAAGCAATGTTATTTACGCTGGTAGGACACGATGACAGCATAGCAAAAGTAGTACGTTCAGATTGCATTCATACTATATAGAACATACATAGAACATTACTTATTGAAATATATAAGTACCTACTCAAAAGAGTATGCAATTTCGGATGCAGACAAAGATTGTCAGTAAACAAATCACGTGACCCGCATTAAAAAGGACATGACTCGATCTCTTTTTTTGTGAAAATATGGTTTGAACTGGAAGGATAAGTACATGGTGACTATTTTCAGATTAAGTTTAGTATGTCAAGCTCTCACTCAGTTTTGTAGCATTTAAACAGCATTGATTGAATTGAACACTAGAGGGAGTCATTGTGCCATAGATTTCTGAGCATATGATTGGACATTTGATCAAGAGCCCTTAAAAATGATGCATTTGGTAGTTTGAGTCAACAAACCAGAGATGCTCTTCATTTCATTTTTATATTTTGCCTCTAGGTTTGTGCGGAGTCATTTTACTTAATTCACGTGTCTGTGGAAAACAATATAATGATGTACAATGTGAAATGTGCAAAATGATTTGACTAATTGTGTATATTTTATACATGTATATAGTCTGCAGGAGCTGTTTGGTGAAGTACCTAGAAGAGAACAACACTTGTCCCACATGTCGGATTGTCATTCACCAGAGCCATCCACTGCAGTACATCGGGTAAGAGTTTACCGCAGCAGACAAACACGTCTCAGTCAGTGTAAACCCCAGAGCAGCCCAGTAGGGGTCCATCAAGGCACACCGGTGAATAGCGTTGTCTTTGACTGCTGGGTGTTGTGTGCATGCGTGTGTTATCTGCGTGTCATACAGCCACATGGGTATTTGAAGGCGGCGTGTCTCCCTCCAGCTCTCTGTCGGAGGCTGAATTATTGATGTCCAGGGTGGAGTGTTCCTCTTAAGCGAACGCATCCAGAAAAAACATCTGGCGATGTGACCTGAAAGATTTACGCACTTCTGAAAGAGAATCACTCTGTGTGATGTCATTTAAGGACTGCTAAACCATCAGTAGTAGGTTTACTACATATCCAGACTGTGAATCGGGGTTGAGCTGGCACATGGAAAGTCAAGATTACAAATGCCTGGTGTTTGTTTATCACGGCAGTGCAGAATTCTGGACCTTTTTGGGTCATTTTTTTTTTCTGGTTTAAAAGGAGGTGACCTCTTGAGGGCACTCTGGATAAAAGGGAGAGAATTTGATGCATTGAAAGTCTCTTATGCTCACCAAGGTTAAAATACAGAAACAATAATTAAATTGTTAAATATTATTACAATTTAAAGTCATTGTTTTCTATTTTAATATATATTTATTTCTGTGATTCGAAGCTGAATTTTCAGCATCATTACTCCAGTCTTCAGTGTCACATGATCCTTCATAAATCATTCTAATATACTGATCTGCTGCTCTAGAAACATTTCTTATCAATATTAAAAACAGGTGTGATGCTTGATATTTTTGGGTGGAAATTGTGATGCATTTTTTCAGGATTTTTAATAGCTTTTAAAATATTTACTGTCACTTTTAGTCAATTTTTTTTTTCACAATTTAAAAGAATCTATTGTGTTATGTGAATGAAAAGGCAGGATGATTTTTGATTATTCAGGATGTGGATGGCCACCACATCCATTAGTTCAAAGTCTTGTGGACGCATGGTTAGTATGTGTTTTGTAGCCTTATTTCGGAAACTTTCATTTTTATTTTTTTCAATAACCACGCATAAACAATATTCTCTCAAAAATACAAACATGTACATACATGTTGCTCACATATTACGGTAGCCCTGTTTGTGCTAAATAGAGTGTAATTTCACCTGTGCCATTAATATGTTTATATGCAACTGAAAAATGCACAAATGTCACAACATGTCAAAACATCTCAAGGACTCAAAAAAAGTTACTTTTGTGTGTGTGCGTGTTCAAAATTTACAGAATTTATATAATAAGCGAGTACATTATGAATCCAATTTCCAAACAGTGTTTTTGTCTCATCCTGAATCAATACGGTACACCTATAATAATAATAAGTGTTTATATTGGGGCTATTTTAGACTAGTTTGGCTCGTCATAGACATAAACAGGAGAAATAGCTCCGGCAACAACGTTCTTCTGCGAAAAGCTTCTGTTTATTAAATGCTAGAGCGCCAGAAGTGACGGACTACAGCTTTATCCTTGCTGATAATTAAGTTCTTTTAAACATAGATGGTGGTTTTACTGCTGCTGGTCATTGAAATATTTCTTTAAGTGACCAGATTTTTAACTGGCTAGACTTTTGACCATCCTAGCATCATAGTACACCTTTTTTCCCACATAGTTTTTCTCCATAAAATGTAAAAATTGAATTTATAGTACGTTACATATCAATTATGCTCAAGTTTTTGAATCATTTGTGAATTTGAGCTCATTTCTATCAGCTTTGAGGTCATCTGTTTGCTTGTGTACGGACCAAACAAGCCTTTTGCAATCATATCTCCCACTCAGACTTCCTGTTTCAATAGGGAAAGGCCTTGCTGCTGAGACACACACACACACACACACGCAGATGTGCTCGGTGTGTAGGTGTGTGTAAACTGTTGGGGTGTGTCGTCCATCTGTCTCCTGAGCATCGGTGCCTCTGTGTCTGATGGATTCGCTGGTGCTCTGGGCCGGATGCCAGCTCTCTCATAATTTGTCATTTAGCTTCATAGTTGCTTGCAGTCGCGCACTGATGAGAAACAATTTCCAAACACATTAAATATTCACCATGATCCCAGGGCTTCCTCGCACGCCCCAGCCTTGCTGGTGGATGAAAGCGCACGCGGAAGAGACAATATAAGAGTTCGGGGTCAGTTACGCCATCAAACCATCTCTCCACTTTCTCCGCATGATTAATCTGACCTTAGTTTAACACCCTGGTATTTATGAGCCACACTGTTTGATCGTGAATAAAAACTGGATTTGTGTGTATTAACAGTGGCAGCTCATTGATCCTCGTCTCTCTCGCACTTGCGCAAACATACACCCACACACACACACACACAAAACGGAGCTTTTGTTGATCAGCTAGCTAAATGCCAGTCACCCCCTCACCACCAGGCCTTCCGGCCCCCTCTGTGGAAGCTCGCTGGCGGCTAATTGGACCTCTAGCTTCTCCGCCAGGCTGCTGGGATTTGGGAACAGGTGGTGGCTCTGGCTGTGCACCAGGGACACAGGTGCACTTCTGCCTCACTCTCCTGAACTCTTTCTTTCTCGTTCTCTCTCATCGTGCCCACAGGGAGCAGATCAGCCAACAGAAAACTGAACTTTGACACAGAACTGGCCTGTGTACTCAATGTAGCGCGAGTGCAGATCTAAGATCAGTTTCCTACTTATCTAAGTCATTATGTGCTATTAAGAGGAATTGAACTTCCACAAGCCATTTTTCACTGATCTCAAACCCTAAAATCTTAAGACAAAAAGGTCCCACTTTATTTATTTTTTTTCTAACTTTTTTTATTGAATGAATTTTACATTTTTGTAACACCAGGTGACAAGTATGGTTAACAATAAACATTACAAAGTGGGACCGAAATAACACCTGTACCCGATACCCACCACCCCCACCCACGAACTAACCCAACACAGGCCCATAAACGAGGACAGACACAAAGGTCCCACTTTATATATATTTTTATGGCTTTAAGTATGTACTTACATGGAAAAATAAGAACATTATTTAGAAAAATAAGAAAATTATCATAAATGTTACATTTGTAAGTATTAAATTGTTATGGGTGACACATAGGTTGATTGTTTTATATTATTTTTTTATAACATGTTTTGTGTAAAATACTTTTTAGACCAATTCTATTTTGTCTGTTATGGGGTTGAGAATAAAAGGTGTTTAAATCTGAGAAAGAATAATAAAAGGTCTTGATTGTAGGGCTGTCAAACGATTAATCACGATTAATCGCATCCAAATTAAAAGTTTGTGTTTACATAATATATGTGGGTGCACTGTGTATAATTATTTTATATATATATACACACACATGCTTGTGTATATTTAAGAAATATTTTCATGTATATACTGTATGTAGATTTATATATAAATCATATTTTTTTCTTAAATGTACATGCATGTGTGTGTATGTATATATATATATATATATATATACAAAATAATTATACACAGTGCACCCACATATATTATGTAAACACAAACTTTTAATTTGGATGCGATTATTCGCGATTAATCGGTTGACAGCCCTACTTGATTGGGGTTGGAAATATGATTTGTTGGAGGTTTGTTTTGTGCCCAATTATGTGGGGTATTTAGAAACTTAATTCTATGCATTTTGAAAAAAGAAAATTTCCGAATCCCAGGAATGACCCTATTACTTTTACTGTATTTTTCATCAAATAAATGCGTCTTTGGTGAGCATAAGAGACTTCTTTCAAAAAACAATTGGGTAGAATGTGCTTAATTGTTATGAAAATATCATAATGAACTTAAATTTGTTTTTCTCTCCTTTTCGACATGAGATTTATCCTTAAAAGAGTGCAATAAAGTTCAGATTTTTCCAGTGTGTGTCCTAGAAAGTATAAGCAACAGAACCAGAGCTGTGAATCTCGAGAGTGTGTGCTTGTTTTGGCTGTTGGCTGCTTGGAACCGGCACTCGTGGGTTTTGCGGCATGGAAACATGTTCTCGGAGGCGGGCAGCCGTACAACAGGAGCCACAGAGATGAACATGTCAACACACGCTTATTAGGTTTACCTCCGAGCCCTGAGACCCACCAGTCACAGGAGAACATAGAGACACGAGGAAGAACTACACTATATGCTAATTAAAGATCATAGTTATGAGGAAACATGCCTGCCGAATGCAAATGCTAATTGGAATGTTATTGGTGTTCATTTTTGTGCATTTCTTACTTTTCCTTCAGCTGTGTTTCTTGCTATAATTATTCATATTGTTTAAATAAATTATATTCATTACCATTTCTCCCTTTTCCTCAGCCATGACCGAACAATGCAAGATATTGTCTATAAGTTGGTGCCAGGACTGCAAGAAGGTTTGTGTTTTTTTTTTTGTTTGTTTTAGAAATATAGATATCAGAGTGCAATTTATATTTTCCCACTTTAAAGGGGTAGTTCACCCAAAAATTAAAATTCAAGTTGTTCTATACCTGTATTAGTTTCTTTGTTCTGTTGAACACAAAATAAGATATTTTGAATAATGTTGGTAACAAGTTTCTGGTTCCCATTGACTTCCATAGTATTTTGTTTTTTATACTACTGAAGTCAATGGGCTCCATTAACTGTTTGGTTACCAGTGTTCTTCAAAATATCTTCCCTTGTGTTCAACAGAACAAAGAAACTCATGCGGGTTTACAACAACTTAAAGGTGAATAAATTATGACAGAATGTTCATTTTTGGGTGAACTATCCCTTTAAAGCAACACTAAGGAGGATTTTTTACCTTCAAATAATCTTTCCAAAATCGTTTCAGTGGTTCATCAAGTCGTGACATAGTGAAATGCGCTTATGCCACCGCTTTGCGGTCCTTTATCTGATATGTCCACGTTATGTTAGATTGCCAGATCGGGTCGTGTTTCTGTATTTCTAATGAGGACAATTCCGCTTCCAACCTGTAGGGCAACTGTGAGGAAAAGTTCCTTGGTGTTGCTTTAAAGCGATACTTCACCTCTAAAAAGATGAATGTGTATTTAAAATGGGTCATTTATTTAGAAGGTATGTAAAATTATTTTTGAATTTTGAGCTTTCTAGACTGCGAAAAGACAGAAAATTTATTTTTAGCTTATGTGGATGAAAGACAACAACTCCCAGAATGCACTTGCTTCGCTGCCCTAGGAGGCCACGCCTACCGGTAACAGAGCGCAGTAGTTAAATAAAAAGTCTAGGCTAGTCTATTGAGTCTCTGTGAGGAGTCTGCCCGAAAATGTGTTTCGAGATCGCCCAAAATGTCCGGGATTCGGCTTTTGCGTTCTATAGTCGCCATTCATTATGTTTACTGTGGTGAGCGGGACAACATGGAACCCAGTTTACTTTCTGAACAAATGAAGTTAGGCTGAGGAAAGAAAAATGACAATGTTTAGTAAAACATAAAGTGATTTTAACCCCTAAAAGTTCTTTTGTTTCTGTGGCAAAGGTCACATTTCTGTTTTTCTTAAAAATATGTGACACTATAGAAGTTACGCATGTTTCATGCTGTCTTGAACAGATTTCTAAGATCCATGTGAACTGGTAGCATAAATACTCTCTGATTACATCAAATGTTTTTTATGCAAAGTGTGTTTTATGGAGCAGCTTATCATGTATGCTGTTGTAAGATTTAATTAATTCTATTTGCTTTCTTGTGTGCAGCGGAGATGAAGAAACAGAGAGAATTTTATCAGAAGTTAGGCATGGAAGTGCCTGGAGACATCAAAGGAGAACTGTGCAACCTGAAAACCCACCTGGACTCCCAGCGCAATGGTACGTCCCATCTAGAATCACAGTGGAAGTGGGACAGTGTGCATTTCACATGTTCATGTCATAAAAAAATCATAATTTGGATAAAGAAAATGAATCATACTAAAGGACCGTTACGAATCTTTGCAGCATGACATTATTTTCATGGTAGTTAAGCACAAGAATCCCCCAGATTATTCCTAAAGATGCATTAATTCAGATGTTTTTAAATAATCCTCAGTGGTTATTCTTATTTCTGAAATGCAATCTTTTTTTTTCATCATAAATTTATTGACAGTTAAACCCCAGATGTATGCTTGTCAAGTTGTCAATGTAAATGATACACTACCATTCAGACGTTTTTTTTTTAATGATAAGATAAATATTTAGCATTAACGCATTAAATTGATCAAAATTGACAGTAAAGACATTTATAATGTTAAAAAAAGATTTCTATTTCATACAAAACTGTTCTTTTGAACTTCTATCAGAGAAACCTGAAAAAATATATCATGATCTCCACAAATATATGAAGCAGCACAACTGTTTTCAACATTGATAATAATCAGAAATATTTCTTGAGCACCAAATCTGCATATTAGAATGATTTCTGAAGGATCATGTGACAGAAGACTGGAGTAACGATGCTGAAAATACAGCTGAAATTACATCACAGGAATAAATTATATTTTAAATATATATATCAGATAATAAAGTTATTTTAAACATAATAAAATTGAATAATACTTAGCAATATTACTATTTTTTGTCTGATAAATGCAGCATTGATAAGCATAAGATAAGTGTATCAATATTCTATATAATTAATGTTAATTACGGTCAATATTTTTTTTGTATTACAAGATTGAAAATTGGTGGAAAATGTGCTTTAATTGTCATTCAACAATACTAAAAAAAGTCTTAAAAGTCTTTTTTTTCACAAAACAGAATTTCTTATTTGCCCAGTATTCTGCTTTTATTATATTGGTCTAAAGCAGCATTGGCAGCATTAAAGGAAGAGTGTTTGGAAGCTTCTTTAGCCTCAAAACAAGCACATTATTTCAGGTTATTTGGTAGGAAACAGGCCCTTACCATTTGTTTGATATAACACAATCATCTAAACCCAGGCAGTCTCTTGTTCTTTTCATCTTTCAGGTCTGTGCGCAGTGATAAAGTCTGTGCAAATACTGGCCCTCAGGCATGTTGAGTCAGCAGGCGTAATGGCTGGATTCATGCATTGTAGTAAATAAGACTTCGATGCAAGTGGTCTCTTGTTCCACACTGTCTCAGCTAGTTTATCAGACCCGTTTTTTTTATAGGACTTCATTACCTCAAATTGAACCGGAAGGAGAGGCATGTGGTAAAAAACGATGACATAACTGACTGCATTACCACATAACCTGCCCACAAATAAGCATGACAGCCTTTATTTTTATGAGCATCAAAAATACTTTTTCTGTGTCACAGATGTACCCTTTATAAGGATGATTAGCCTCCTCATGCCACAGTAGGGTACCTGACAGTCCTTCTCAAATCCTATAACAGCGAATATTACCCTGTGATTGTTGCTCAGCTTGAAAAAGAAGTCACCCTTCCGGACAGCATGGTCAAATTGCCACCTTAGCTTGTCGGCCTCATCCCCGGACAGCTTTGCAGAGGCACCCTGTCTATTAACCACCCTAACAGAAAACTTATTCCACTGGAAGTCACAGTCTGCTTGCCTCAGATTAGCTCAGCCTCCGTGAACTTTTTCCCAGCCAGGGAACATTTTAAGTATCGGAAAGGATATTCTGTGTGTCCTGTGAAGAAGCCATCGAAGCTTAAGAACGACTGAACCCAGACTGCATTTCGTCCAGATGCTCGAGATCTCTTTCCCATTAATGCAGTTGAGATTTCTGGTGATGCAATGACAATGTCATAGTGATGTTTGACAGCCCCCTCATACAAAGTCATGAGGGTGTGTGGACAGTCGTTCGGTTGAAATGCAATAAAATAACTCAACCATGCTCAACTAGACTGGTCATTTGCATCTAATTCCCTCTTGCACTGGGCAGTTTTGGTGACTTTAGCAAAATATGTTGCTTTGAGGATTTAAAAGAAGAATATTCAGTGTTAGCACCTGTGGCCTGCTGTTAACAATCACAGAGAATTTTGACACTTGGTTTGTAAAAAATAAAAAATGGGTGCAAATGTACAACACTTATAACAACAATTTGATACTGTAAGTAATGATCACACAAGTATGAGCGTCATGTTTATTTAGTTAAAGGTGCAATGTGTAATATTTCTGAGGCTCTATTGACAGAATTGTGTTCAGTGGTGTATGAAGACCTTACTCAATGAACCGATTTATTACCTTAAGTGTAATTTTCGAGGGCTTGGAGCCAGAGGGGCGTAAGTGGCATTTTGGGCGAATATGAGTTCTTTATATCAAAAGAAAGGTCTCGATGAGCTCTATCCAATGGTGCCAAAATACCTATCTGAGATCAAACTGTATTGAATAAAGCAACAAAAAGGCGTATTTGACTTATTTGATTTTTTCTTTTTTTGAAAATGTTTTAGAACATGTTCATTGTGTTAATATGCCATACATTTTTTACTTAAATACTCATTTCATGTAAGTATGCCTGTGGTTGCAATGTTTTTGGTTTAAGGTAAATAATACATGATGGTAGCGTGGTCAAAATTTGGTTTTGTCTCTCCTGTAAAGTTTGTTGAAAGCCACTTACGCCCTTCTGGCTCCAAGCCCTCGTTTTATTCCTAGCTGAATTTTCGGTATCATTGCCTTCAGTGTCACATGATCCTTCAGAAATCATTCAAAAATGTTGATCTGGTGCCTATGAATCATTTCTATTGGTGCTTAATATTTTGGTGGCAACATGTTTTTTTTTTCCAAGTTTGTTTGATGAATAGAAAGATTTGTCACTTTTGATCAATTTAATGCATCCAAAAAAATATATATATATAAATTTCTTAAAAACAAAAAAATCTTACTGACCCCCAATCTTTTAAACAGTAGTGTTGGTTACACTGGATCTCTCTCATCAATGTTAATGGAGGAAGGTATTTTTAGGCATGTATAAATCTGTAATGAGATGCAGCCCTAGTTTCTGACCTGATCAATGGACAGTGGTTTGCCTGTCTGAGGTGTGAAGTGTTATTTGGGCAGGCTGAATCACAAATGAATCTGTTTCCATTAATGAGGTGCAGATTTGCTTTGTAGTCTTGTGAGTGTGTGTCGGACTCGGAGCAGTTGAGATTTTTTTTTTTCTTGTTTGATGAATGTTTCTTCACTGTAATGAAGAAACTCTTCCGAGAATCACAAACTAATACTGGATATAATTCAAGCTCTGAGAAACAATGAATTATAAATGCTTGGAACCGTAATACAAACTATGATTAAACATTGATTTAAAAGTTGAAGCTGTTGTTTGGTAAGTTAAATGTATGTACTTTCAGCTCTACGGTGTTTTAAAAGCAAAATTGTGGAGGGATGAAAAATGTCATGTTTTTATTGTTGTCTATTATCTAAATTTGTTAAATTTTACTCCACCAGGTGACCTGAAATCAGAGGAGACAGCCAATAAGGAAGCAGGAGAGGAGAAAGCAGAAGAGGACAATGACTACCATCGCAGTGATGAGCAGGTAGGTTTCCCCGTACCCATCTGACCTTGTTCATTTCCCACAAGGGAGCTTCACACTCTGTTGGTTTGACCTAGTTAGTATGAATAAATCCCTGAAAAGGTCTATGTTTGGAATATTATGCTACTGTACTAGTGTATTTCTGCTGTGTACAGTACTTTAGAATGCACGGATGACACAATTTTCCCAGTCTGCAATGGGGCACCCAGCATAGAATAGCGTATCCCATAATGTAATGTCCTCAACGTGACCAGTTTCCATTTTTAGAGTGATGAATGAGCCAATTATATCAGCTTATATTCTTTTTCTGATTTGGGACATTGAATATATATCATATTCAACTAAACATGCACATAATGAGGTAATGTGCAGCATACTACTATTTAAATTGTTTCTCTTTGCATAATGCATTTACCATTCTATTTAAGAATTCAGTACAGTGTACTAGTATTCCATTCTGAAAACTGTCAGGTTCCACTTTATTTCAACAGTCCACTTTAGGAGTTCTACTAACTAGAAGTCATTTTGCATTTAAATCTCAACTAACTCTCATTAATTTGCAACTACATGCCAACTCTCATTAGTAGACTGTTATGGTTCGTTGTAATGGACATGTACTTAAAAAGTTACTTCCAGTTAGTAGAATGTCTTTTATAGTAGCTGCAAAATAGTGTTAGTCGATAACTGGTAGTTGACGCTTAGTTGCAAAGTTACTAATAGTAAGTGGACTATCGAAATAAATGTTAATATGCCAAATGCTCAGCCCCTTCCTGTTTGAAATATCCGTTCTATTTTCAGATATTTATGCAGAGCCGTTTCAGTGTTTTAGAGGGTTGGTAGTTTCATTAAAGACTGTGATATAGTAGAGTTTGTATTCCTGCTCTCCTCTGTGCTTCTTAATAATGTAATAACAGAAGGTTGTGTGGCTGATGTCACTGCTACTGCATTTGGAATGCAGATTAGTTTCTTTATATAGGATCTGATACTAAGTGTAGTGTAGGGTGGTCTGATGTTTGTGCTGCTTATACCGTCTTAGATATAGTTGAATGTATACCATTTCTTGCAATGATTGCATTTCCAGCAAAAATCTAAAAATGCAATAACTCGTAGTGTGATATAAGAGATTTATAGAGAAGAAAGCGCAAAGAAAAACAAGGTGGGTGTAAATGGCATAAATTTGCCTGTGTTCTCTTTTGTGGGAGGAAGAGATCGATGAAGATTTCAGAGTTACGTTTCTGTGTCCTGTAGACATCAGTCAGTTGTCTTGCAAAAGTGCGAGGAGAGATCGCCTGTACATGCGGTCTGCTGTAGTAAAGCTGAGACAGACACTTTGGCCTCATATATAATGTAAAATGGAAATAAAAATTTCAGCAGTACTCGTTCGGTTACGCTCGGATGGCTATTAAACGCTTCTGTTGGTGAGACCCATCTGGGATGACCTTGCAAGGAGAAGTGAAGCCAAAATAAGCCGTGAAATGCAAAGGAATTAAAGAGATTTATTAATAATGGGATTTGTTGAGATATATTTAGTAGCATTTGTACAGAACATTTAACTCTACTGCTTTTTTTCTGGGTAAAATTCACACTTAAATTGAACATTTTATTGTTATTTTTCTCAGCTTAATTATAAGCATATTTATCTTGCGTCATACAGAATTTTGGTTTTGAAGTTTGTTCATAGGATTGGCCCTCACATAACTGTAATCACATTATGCGTGTTGTTCATTTGGATCACTGAGAGTCAGACTTGCTGAAAGAGTCGGTTTAGTGAGTCTAATGTTTACTTGAGACTACAAAGACCAATTCAGTCCAGTTTATGAAAGAATCATTTTGACAAAACGATTCACCGAAAAGATTTTAGTTATGTTACTATTCCTGCAGAACATGTCTCTCCACTTGTAATAGAAAGACTTCAGGGTTTACAATTTTATTGTTTTATTTAATTCATTAAAACCATAATTATTTGGCTGGATTAATGTCTTTCAATCATGAAAAAATAAAATAAAATAAATAAAGTTGACTCTTTTCTGCGAATTGGGTCTTTTGAGCAGTTTGTTAAGAAATTGTTCAGAAAAAAAAAGTATCTTCAGTACTTATTTTTGGTTCTCACTTACACGTAATCACATTAATTGAGATCATTGTGAGACTGTCTTGTCATAAAGAGTTTGTTTAGTGAGTCTCTGAAGAACAACTATGACCTATTCGGTCCACTGATTCATATACATATCGGAGATCACTAATTGCTAGTAAAATAGATTGAAAAAAGAGCCAGTTTAGTTCTAAGGGCTAGAGAGAGAATAAAAAATGGTCATGTGAAATTTAATTGGCTTATTTCGGTGCAAGAAATCACCTTGATTAGCATTATAAGTAGACTTCTGGGTGAAATAATGAAATGCGGCAAAAGTGTAGAATACATCCATTTTAAAATTACCTCAGAATGTGGGGTTGTAATAACACAGTGAGTGTGTGATAGATACAAGCCAGCGGACATTCCCCACACAAACCAGGAGCTCTAACCTCGTGAAATTAGATTTTAAATCACAATAATCAACATCTCTTGGCATCTCAAGGAAATGAAAGCTATTTGGTGGTGGTTGCTGCAAATAAAAGGCCCCTCTTATGGTTGTTCTGGGATCCGGTGGTTTAATTGGTTGAGTGAGTTCACCATTAGTCATTTGTGCGACTGTTTGCGGTGAACATAACAGCCCCGGCCGTGCCGTAATGACCCAGTAATCACACACACACACACATATGCAGCTAATAGCGAAGTTCCGAGCTTGTTTTTAATAGTACACCCGTGTTTGGATTACCATTACATCTCGCATGCCGCCTGCCTTTAACTGAGCACATCTGCGATTTACTGCCTGCTGTTCTTTTAAAGGATGTGGCCCTTCTCTCTCGGCACCATTTGCCCTTGAAATGGACTGGCGTTTAGCCGCCAGGCGCAGCTGCCCCTCCTCATCCTTCTCCATTACTGTCTGTTCTGGGTGAGGCCTGGTCCAAATGGGCCACTGTGCCACTCTGCACTGCTCAGTCACTTATCGGCAGAAGGACAGAGGGACTGGAAGAGAGAGAGGCATGAAATCCTTAATGCGTCTTGACTCTCTGAAGCCCTCACTCTGCCCGAGGCGACCGCAGTCCACTGGCGACTCAACCCTCAGCTCAGTTTTGAAAGATGGTGCCGGGCTTGCTGGCATCTGCTTTTTTTGTTGTTGAAATCGTATCGGTGGCGTCAGTAATTATGTGTGTTACGTGTTTTTATTTTTTATTTTATTGCAACCTTAATGAATAAAAGTATTAATAAAAAGTATAATTTACCCCAGACTTTAAAATGGTTATGTAAAGTGAGTCAAATTAGGGCTGTGAAACGATTAATCGCATCCAAATATTTATTAATATTTATATAACCCATATTTTGTATATATAAAAACACACATATGCATGTATATATTTTAGAAAAAATTTATTAATATATGAAATATTTATATTTATTAGGGCTGGGCAACGATTAATCGCGATTAATCGCATCCAAAATAAAAGTTTGTGTTTACATAATATACATTAATATACTATATATATATATATATATATATATATATATATTAGCGATTAATCGCATCCCAAATAAAAGTTTGTGTTTACATAATATACATGAATATACTGTATATATATATATATATATAATTTATATTAAATATAAATATTCATATTTTATATATTAATAACACATTTTTCTTAAATATATACATGCACGTGTGTGAATTTTTATATACAAAATTCTTGTACTCAATTCTATAAAATAATTATACTCAGTACACACATATATTATGTAAACAGTAAACACAAACTTTTATTTTGGATGCGATTAATCATTGCCCAGCCCTAATATTTTTGTACAATATTAATTTTGTATAAATATATAGAAAGTATATACATGCAAATTTTTTAAAAATATATACAAGCATGTGTATGTATTTATATATACAAAATAATTATACACACCACACACACATATATTATGTAAACACAAACTTTTATTTTGGATGCGATTAATCGTGATTAATCGTTTCACAGCCCTGATTCAAATCAACTCTATGTAGGGATGCATGTGTAGAATATTCCTCACATTAAGCCACTGAACAAAAACATTGTATTCTAGTTGTTGCGACAGGTGCTGTTTACCAAGATACTGACAATGACTCATGTTGCTTATTATATTGTGAGTGACACGCTGTTGTCACAAATATGCTAGGAAACGTCATAGGGAGATATAAAAATATACATAATCTATATTTTGGGATTTCAGTTATGCAGGCTATATCTCAAGAGGTTCAGTTTACAAAATTAGCTCATTTGGAATGGAAATGGATACACTTAAATTAGAAGTTTTGAATATGATATGCTTCCAATACTATTCTTTTCACTTGTGTTGAAAATGAATTACAGCAATTTGCATTGAGAAGCAACTGGAGGGAAGTTAAAACCAAAATCAAATGACAACAAATAATGTGCAATGAGAGTTTAAGGTGACATGAGCGACACCGATCATTGGCGTTGCAATAATGTTGAGCATGCTTTATGCAAATAAGCACAGCACAGGTGTAACAAAGCAACGACAAGATTTTGAGATCCTCGAGTGGAGATTGAATGATCATTCCACCAGTTTAGTACCTGAAATCATGTGTTTACATGGCTCTGCATGCTATCTGACATGGTGGACATGTAGCCTAGACTGAATGGATTCAAACATTTAGCTATAAAACATAAGCTACTTGTCTTTGCTATTTGTTTAGTTCTGGTCTCCAACACAATGCAGTTATCTAAATCCTTCATGTGATTATCAGTGCTAAGTCTAAATGTCTTATCTATTTCAGGTGAGTATATGTCTGGAGTGTAACAGCAGTAAGCTCAGAGGACTCAAGCGGAAGTGGATTCGTTGTTCGGCTCAGGCGACCGTTCTCCATCTCAAGAAGTTCATCGCAAAGAAGCTCAACTTAACATCCTTCAATGAGGTATGTGATCCCCCATATCTGAAGCTCCATAGCCCCGAAACGGATCCCATTATCTGCCTTTTCCTTTGGGCGAAGTTAACTGGTTCGAGACCTTTGCCACCAATCCGGCTGGCTTCGCTGTTTCCTCCACGACAATGCGTGAGTCACCACGCGGATTTCAAAGCTCCTCCGCGCTGTCACGATTCCCACAAAGCTTTCAATATGCCTCATATTTTCAGAGACAAATAATAGCCTGTAATATCATTTGCTCTCTGTCATGTATCTCGCAGCCTGCCAACATCTCATAGTGCAATTTAACACAAAACTTGACTAATTATTGGTACTTAATCATCACTCCTTTGTGCTAGAAATGTGTGGGCTTTTCCACAAGACACATCCATCAAAAACTTTTCTCGCAATAATACAGCCAAATGCCTGTTGTTTTCCGCGACTATCGAGAGCTGCCAGAGGCACAATACTGCTCTGAGCCAGATAAAAAATATGACTCCGAAATGGCAGCAGTTTGTGTACAGCTCTACTTTGAAGGTGCAAGAGGAACGCAAAACCTTTGAAGAACTAAATTCTAACAAGCATCAAAAGTTTCACGACATGTCTCTGAACATCTTTGGTTCCGATCCCAGATACTCACGATGACTTTAAACTCAGAATAGTGCAAAGAGCTCACGGCCTCCAGCAGGTGTTGCTGTGGTCGTGCTGCTCTCAGAGCGAGCCAAAACACACAGACACCGGCACTGATGTTTCACTGCATGCTATTCCAGCGGGAACGGCATCTCTTATACTGTGGTATAATCCTCTGGGCGGTTATGGCTGCTCTTAAAGGTTTTGTGTCCTTTTGTTTTGGCTTGAATAACAGGTGGAACGAATGTTTTGAGAGTACAAAGTACTCACTCTTTTGTAAAGCACCATAAAATCCCTCCTGTCTTCAGAGACGTTCATACACAATTGATTATGCGGTTCTCTGGGATAGTTTATTCTGTTTGGTCGATTGCAACATTCTGTGGTCAAATGTTTGTATAATGGCTGATAAACTGTGTATTTGAGCATTGAAACAGGGAAATGATGTCCTAGGCTTATTTCTTTCATATTACCCATGACACTCGTGCCATGAAACATTTGAGTCTGGCAGTAATTGCCAAAAGGTGGTAAATTACGTTTTATTGTTGAAATGGTGGTGCTGGGCATCATTTTAAAGAGAACTTTTTTCTACACTAAATTTATTAGCATGGTAAAACGTTTTAATTTGCTAAAAGTTTGGGTATCATTTTATTTTTTATTGATTCAGATTCTTATTGAAAAAAAAAAATCAAGTCAAACATATTTATTCTATTTTTTTTTTTACCATGGACAGAAATCAGCATCCTGATAACAACTAACTAATAAACTTGACTAACTCAAAAAAATTCCAAACGTAATTAAAGACATACAGCATATACAGTCAACAATACAATAAAAACAAATAAGCAAACACAGTTTAGAAATCAAATCAAATGTAAAATGATATTGAATAGTTTTCTTTTTAGAAATAAAATATAGATGAATCTTTATTAAAGTTAGAAAAGTTATTCGGTCGAGATAAGTGAGTGATTTTTCATTTTCTTTTGTTCTTTAATTTACATTGAGACCGACTGCAGCAGAGTTATTGGGCTGCTGTCACTTTAAGACCGAATTGATATCATACAATATATAGTTAACCGTTAACGTTCCTTAAAGACAAAACCAACTGTGTTTACGAGGATATTTTGGCGTAGGTTTGTGTGCATTTTTCGGTTCAAGCGCAAGAAGACGCGAAAGAGAACTCAATTCAGCATTTGCGCACTAAATGAGAGGCGGGTTTTTATGCCCCAAGCATGTTCTGTTTTGTGCCTACTTGTGATTAAATGCTTTAAAATCACATTAAAATGTGAACACATGAATCAATAAGCAGAATCTAAATTTTATAAGTATCTGGTTCCAGAATTAGAATCGATTTTCTATTCCCAACTAAGTAGTCAGATTATTTGAGCATCCTGATCCATTTGTAGAATTATGAAATGTTGATCAGCTGACCCATGTAATGGTCCTGTAATATCATGGAAAGTGTAGTTTTTTTGTTTAGACTTTTCCACATACTGTAACATTTTTTTACTTTGTTTGCTACATTTGTGTGCTTATTTTTAGCTGGACATCTTATGCAATGAAGAAATCTTGGGCAAGGATCATACTTTGAAATTTGTTGTGGTAACAAGATGGAGATTTAAGGTAATTAATGATAAATTTGTGTGCATGCATGTTTGTTTTAGATTAGCTGGCTTTAGTCTTCCCGTTTGCCGTTGTGATGTGCATGCATGGACAATTTGCATGAATTCATAATCATGTGCAGTGTGTGAAGATTAAATATGAAATTGTTTTTGTGTTGTCATGACCAGTATTTTATATTTATACATATATATATATATATATATATATATATATATATATATATTAGGGATGGGCAATGATTAAACGCGATTAATCGCATCCAAAATAAAAGTTTGTGTTTACATAATATATGTTTGTGTATAATTAATTTGTATATATAAATACCCACACATGCATGTATATATTTAAGAAATTTGTGCATGTATATATTTTATATATATTTATTCAATTAATATTATATATTAATAATAATAATAATAATAAATGATAATTATTAGTAATATTTGGATATAAAAAATAATTAATAATAATAATAATAATAATTATATATTAATTAAATTCAATTAATAACACAGTTAATATTATATATAAATATACATATTTTATATATTAATAACACATTTTTGTTAAATATATACATGCATGTGTGGGTATTTATACAAATTAATTATACACACTACACACACATGTATTATGTAAACTCAAACACATTTTGGATGCGATTAATCGCGATTAATCGTTGCCCATCCCTGATATATATATATATATATCCTTCTTTATAGTATTATCACAATCATTATGCATTATCTTACAAAAGTAAGTACACCCCTCACATTTCAGTTCATCTTCTCAACGCACGATACTATAGAAATGAAACTTCGAATCATTGTGCTGCTTTTATAGTTGTATATTGACTGTCTTCTGAAAATAACTCTACATACAGCCATTATTGTCAAAATAGCTGGCAACAAAAGTGAGTATACCCTAAGTGAACATGTCAAAACTGTGTCCAAAGTGTCAGTATCTTGTGTGAGCAACATTGTTATCTAGCACTGCCTTAATGCTCCTAGGCATGTAATTCATCAGAGCTGCACAGTTTGTTGCTGGGATCCTTTTCCACTCCTTCATAATGACATCTCGGAGCTGCTGGATGTTAGACACATGGCGCTTCTCCACCTTCTGCTTGAGGACGCCCCACAGGTGCTCAATAGGGTTTAGATCTTGAGAAATTCTTGGCCACTCCATCACCTTCAGCTTCCTCAGCAAGGCAGTTGTCATCTTGGCAGTGTGTTTTGGATCGTTATCATGCCGTTCGGCCCAGTTTCTGAAGGGAGGGCATCATGTTCTGCTTCAGAATCACAGTACATGTTTCCCCAGTACCAGCAGCACCCAGGGCTTCACCACACATTCTGGACACCATCTGAGCCAAACAAGTTTATTTTAGTCTCATCAGACCACAGGACATGGTTCCAGTAATTCATGATCTTGGACAGGTTGCTTTGAGCGAACTTTTTGCGGGCTTTCTTGTGAGCCAGCTTCAGAAGAGGCTTCCTTCTGGGACGACGGCCATGCGGTGTATGGTCTGAGCACTGACAAGTTGACCTTCGGTTTCTGCAGCCTCTAAAGCAATGCTAGCAGCACTCATACGTCCGTGTTTTTAAACCAGCTTCTACACCTGACGCACAGCACAAGGACTTAACTTCTTTGATTGACCATTGCGAGGCCTGTTCCAAGTGGAAACCCATCTTGGAAAACCTCTTTATGACCCTGGGCTGTACTGTTGCTCAGTTTCAGGGTGTTACCAATCTTCTTATATATATATATATATAAACTTTATTACAGGCTCAAGGCCCACAGAAGACAATACTATACACAGAATCAATAAAACATCTCACATTCATATATACCCCTTCTATACAGCAACAACAGAAGAATAGAGCTAATGAAGGCATAGATACCAGTGATCCCATATTTTTGACATGTACCTCACGGCGCTACGACTTGGATCTACTATCTGAACAATAAGCTCATTCATGGATCGGTCCAGCCTGCTCATAAACTTGAAAGTGAGATTTCTCACCAAAGCCATGAAAGTGGTTAAACCCAGCCTACAGAACAGCTGGCTTATAGCCGAGGCCATCTTTGTGGAGAGCAACAATCCTAATTCTCAATTCCTTAGAGAGTTCTTTGCCATGAGGTGCCATGTTGAACATCCAGTGGTCAGTATGAAAGAATTGTGCTTAAAAGGGATACTCCACTTTTTTGGAAATAGGCTTATTTTACAACACATTTTGAGTTTTGCCGTTTTCGAATCCATTCAGATAATTTTCGGATATTTAGAAGAATATCAGTAACCAGACAGTTTCTGGTCTCATAGTCTCATATACTATGGAAGTCAATGAGACCAGAAACTGTCTGGTTAATGATTATCGTCTAAATATCCGAAAATCGGCTGAATGGATTCGAAAACGGTAAAACTCAACTGTGGGTTAACTCTGGGGGAGTGGTAAAATGGGCCTATTCCCAAAAAAAGTGGAGTATCCCTTTAAGCACAAATTTGAACTGCTCGAATACAAGATACAACAATTTGTATGATTGCATGGTTAAACGACGCACAACGCTGTTATCACTTAGGGTATACTCACTTGTGTTGCCAGCTATTTGGACATTAATGGCTGTATGTTGAGTTATTTTCAGAGGACAGTAAATATATACTGGTATGCAAGAAGCATTGACTACTCTAAAGTATATCCAAGTTTCATTTCTATAGTATTGTCCCTTTAGAAAATATACTAAAATGTTTGCTAAAATGCGAGGGGCGTACTCACTTTTGTGAGATACCAACACATTCTCATCCTAGGGCGTCATATAGGGACGCTTTTGAAATTTCGTCTAAATCCAATGCATATAGCACTCTTTAGCGTCAATATAACACGCACAGAGCTTTGTTCGGTTATGGGTTGGTTTAGGTCTTTGGTAGGGTTAGGGTTAGACCACTAGGAGGTGCCGAGTCTCATATTGACGCTAAAGGGTGCCGTGTGCGTTGGATGTAGACGAAATGGCAAAAGAGTCAACATATGACGCCTTGGGATGAGAACGGGCTGGAGATACTGTATGTATCTGTTTTATATATTTATCCATCGTAAACAATGTTGACATTCTGATGCACTAAGTTTGCATATCTAATCCTTCTCTGAAACGCCATTGCCAAAACGATAGGAGCACTTGACTTTCTGTGCCTTTGTTTCCGTTCTAGTGGTTCTATGACTTTCAGTCACACGAATGCATGTGTGTTTTGTGTGCGTTCCAGAAATCCCCCCTCCTCCTTCATTACAGACCCAAAATGGATCTGCTGTAGTTGGACAAAAACGCTTGGTTGTTTTGGCCCAGTGGCTGAGGACTGTGCTACGTGCTATATATGCAGAGACCATCAACGCCCACACCAAACAAACGCCCGTCAACACAGACACACGAGCCAGCAAACAACAAAACCAGCACAGCCACTGCGACACTGGCGACTTACGGGAACAACCGCTTTTCTCTGTCTTGTTTGTCCGCTATATGTCCTATATATGTGAAAAATTGAGAGAAAGCATATATTTATACTTTTGTATAGATGAGAGAAGTGGAACCAAGACCCTATTGGTGCGCTGTTTACACTATTAAAACAAAACAAAAAAGACACAAAAAAAAAAAGGTCATAAGAAAAGGTTTAACATTTTTTCTACCATTGGACTTTGTTCCCACCTCAATTATGGGCAAAAAGATGGTGCTCGGTGTCTGCCGTCCTCCTTGGAAGTGTCAACTTTTACACTGCTAACCAGAAGAGAGGAGGCGTTTCGAACTGACCGCTCTCTCTCAGGTCTTACCCAACACTTCTCGGGAGCGCAGAGCCTTTCTATACTTATATAAAGCAGTTTATATGAGTGTGTTATCTCAGAGCGGATTCTTTCTCTACTTTCCGGCGCCGCTACGAGTGGAATTGTGAATAAGCAAATTTATGTGTAGTATTTATGTTCTATTTACCAATATTGTATATAAAAGTTGTTGATGGAGAGAAGGGATGAAAGATGTATTGAAAGTATGCGTGAAAGACTAAAGGCAAGAAAAATAAGAGACTGGTTTTCCAAAAGTGCTGTATTTTGGCCTGCGTTTATGTGGCTACATGGAAACGACGTAAATGATCAGCGAAATTCAAGCCAGATTCCGAATTGGGTGAATCTCGCAAAATATTCCCACCCCAAAATGAAATGGGAAAAAGAAAATGAAGCTTGGTTTTGGGACCATTAAGATTTTGGTTTTGTATTTTGACTTTATTTTCATGACAATTATGCAAATTACAGTTAAAAAAAACTGCAGTTTTAATCATTATTTACAGCACATCTGAACGTCAGTAAAATGTAAATAATATGTCACTTTTATTTGTATTACGGTATTACAGTAATGCGTAGTTTTAGAGATTGTGTAATTGTTATGAAAAAAAATTGACGATGCAAAACATTTTAATGGTCATAAAAACTCTATTTTCTTTAATAATTTCCTAAATTAATTCCAATGATAATTATAAAGATTATTTAACAAGAGCTATATATTTAGTTTTTTTTTCCCCCCACTTATTTTTTCATTTGATTTTGAGGTAAAATATGACCCAAGCAATTCGACCAGTTTCAATGGATTCCCCATCAGTACATCTCTTTTCAGTGGTGCAAAAAGCTTATATTTAAGACGTTTAAGTGTCTAATTTAATGCAGCAGTGAATAAAAGAGATTTCTGGATGGGAATGGTGTTTTTAATCATTTGATCCTCCCAAATGCTAATTTCCAGCTTTAGGATCTTAAATAACTTAAATTCAAAAATAGCCAACCTGCCCCTCATATAGTACATGCATCTCCTGATAAAACCCCTCAGTGTCAACGTCATATATGCAATGCATCACCTTTTGATTGAGACTAAAAAGATGAAATCCTCTCCAATCCTCCGAAGTACGAATGTAACCCACAAGTTACCGTCCATATGTATTGTACAACTGTTTGTTTTATTGCTGTTTTAGTGCCAAAGGCTTCATATACCCTCCTGACTTCACTCTTTTCTGGATGGCAAGCTGTACAAATGGCAGAATACGAACAGCGTTTGAATTGAACCGATTTAATACAAATGGCAAATTGAAATCAGAGTTTGAGCGATATTTATGATTTGTCCGTTAGTGTAAATTGTTTAAATCGATCGTTTTATTTTTGTTTGGCAAGCCCTTAACGAATTGTGGACCATGTTGGTCGACAAAGTGCATCTAGTTGATCAAACATTAAAGGGCTCTTATCAGATTTCTAACATAAATGTATATTGAGAGTAAATTGACTTTTTTTATATCCAAACATTTACTTAAAAATCTGTGCGTCATCTACAGCGGTCAACTTTTACACGGGTAAATGCCAAACCAGCTTGACCAAATCTTTCTGCATCTCATCATCAAATAATTCCACAAATACTAATATTTTATACATTTAATACTGAAGTCTTCATTGAAACAGTGGTTCATCTGCCCGTGAGTCTTTTTTCATAATGTGAATTATCTCAGTATGCATATTGTCTTCAGCTTCACTTTTGTTTTTTTAAAGCTACATATTGTTTTACTTTTATCCATCACCAATATGCTCTTATAAAGAGTATTCTGTCATGATGATTTAAATATTGCATTCTTGTGTATGTATCAGCCATTTGACGCAAACATTTGAATGGCTAGTGTTCCAAACACACACTGCTGGTTTATTCCTCACAGACTGGTGAAAAAGCAACAAATGCATAATTTTACTGGTTTTTTTTTTTTTTTTGCTCATTTTCTTCCAGCATTGGGTGCGCATGTCTAAAGCTGGGAGGGTTTTTCTTTGGGGTAATTGCCATGGTGAAGGCTGGTGTTCACTGGTGATTCTCCCTTTTGAGCCAATAAATGGTGCTAATGTTTTGTACCTTTTAAAAATAAAACCGAACTGAACATGGTGCAGAACCGGGGGCGAGTCTTAAAATACCTGTACTTTTCTTTTGTTTTTTGACATGTTGGTGCTTTCGGGTCTTGTGAAACAAGTTTTTACAGCCTGTTTTTGAGGGAAGTTGTTCATGAAATTTTATTTACTGCTGTCAGAGGAAATCAGTCTCAAATAGCAAACTAACACCATCTTTTGTTTCAAAGAACACTGGCTTTTAGAGTAAAGTCCTGTTGTACATCACTTCTACAGCTTCGCTCGATCATCCCATGATCATCCCATAGCAGCTTGATCTGGCACTGGTCTGTATTGTTGCTTCATGTTTTGACACAAGCGATAAAGGCAACTTGGAAGACAGGGTTTTTTCACTCTAGTATTGTTTAAATCACTCTCCCAGGGCTTCATTGTGCATGAGAGAGGTGTGTTAGCTCTTGAGGTAGAATCGCTATACTCCGCAGTATTGGGATAGGTCGATGCGCTGGCCATGTTATCAGGTTTGCATTGAGACATCAGCGCTACTTCACTTGACAGGCTGGCTGTAAGAAGCTTAGAGACCTGCTTTACTGTGTTAGAAGCTGTGGATTGTGTCCAGACTGAAGTTGCCAAGACTGGAGGCCGGTCTTCTTATCATTTCCGTTTGCTGGCTTTTTTGGCATGTGACAATGGTGCTCCGTGAACTGAACTACAAATCTGGAGATGTGGAAATGATGTTAGAGGATGATCCTTGGGTGAATCTCAGGATATTATCTGTAACATAGGATTTTGTCATATATTTCACCCCAAAATGCAAAAAAAAAGGAAAAATAAGAAACAAGAAATTATATTTTGCTATTGTATATGATCTTTTTTAATGACTGTAAAGCATGTTTTTCTCCTGTTGTCATTACCGTAATGTAAACATTTCTCTCTCATTACAGTAATGTGAAAAAATTAAGTCAATCTGACATTTTTCTTTTAAATGAGCTTTTTTTTTTTATCAGGCTCCTACGTTTAGGTTCAGTAATTTCACATTAATGACAATGACAAAGGTTATTATTCAATTATTGAAATGCCTTATTTTCAAAAAATGGCACAGATAAGAGTAGAATTAAAAACATAAATACTTATTTAAAAGAAAAATGTCAGACAGCCTTAGAGATTTTTTTTGCATTTGAAGTCTTCAAAACAAGTCTTCGTGTGTGTGTGTGTGTATATATGTATATGTGTGTGTGTGTGTGTGTGTGTATATATATATATATATATATACACATGCATATACATATATACACACACACATTTATATATGTATGTGTGTGTATATATATATATATACATGAATGTCAATTTCATAGATATATAATTTGCATTGATCTAATATTTTTTCACATTACGGTAATGAGAGAAATTTTTGCATTACGGTAATGACAATAGGAGGATAATGTGCCTTTAATTTGGGGACTGGTTTGGCTTAATTGTCATGGTTCTCAAATAATAAGATTCATTGTCTGTATGTACAATATAATTTTGTATTTTTTCCCCTTTTGATTTTGGGGTGAAATTTGACATTTCTTTTTCACAATTCACCTTTTTTCGGATTTTATCAACAGAAAACATTACAATCAAAAGTACCACATGCGAGATTTCAGCTGCGCTGGAAAGCACTTCTTATTTATTGTCTTTTTGAAAAGCTTACAGCGGCCCTTAAAGTGCACCATTTGGATTTATTTCTCATTCTGTATATCATTTCTCTCCAGTCACTCTCTCGAGTCAGGATTGTCTTTCCTCGGGAATCATCTGCCGTGATTGTATTCTCACAAGAGCAGTGTGTTTAAAGAGCACTCTGTGCTAATGTCTGGAAGTCTGTAAAATCAGACTATGAGGCCGACACACAGAGAAACCACAATCCGCCCTAATAGGTTTTCAGCGGGCGGCTTTTCTAGGGTTTGATTGATTGGTTACAATGATTGGTCAGTTTTGGGTTTCATTGATTGTGAGCCTGAAATGATTGGCCAGATATTTCACTGTGTGTAGTGTTTGCTGCCAATTAAAAGCATTGCAACATCTTAGGGTTCAGTTGGGCAACCAGTTTCACTGTGTGTGTGTTTGTGCATTTGGATTGTTGTTGATTTGAAGAAACCAATCTTCACAGTGGCACCTTCAACTGAGACATTTATATTTATCACACTCCTCTATCCGAACTATTTCCCCCACTAAATGTTATTTATTTATACTGTAAAGATTTTTGTCCTGCAATGTTCTGAAATGCGTGTCGAGATTTGCCGCAAATCAAGATTTGTTGAGTTCGATATCTTCATCTGTACATGCTTTGATAGATATATAAAGGACTCGAACATGATGAAATAGTATCACTTAAGCATTATAACCCTTCTCTGTCATTCAGCATATAGTCTTATCCATGTATGCGCTTTGTGTATAAAACAAAAAAGCATTCGGATTGGGTCGTGTGGAGCGACCGTTATGTTTCCAAGGAAAAAAATGTGCAATATGTCTCTCAGATGGTTCTTGGTTTCAGCTCTGGAAGCTTCATTCAATTTATATCTGTTCGTTAGGTGCTCAGGTCACAGATAGAGTCCATACAGTTCTCATCCCTCTGATTCTACGGGTGCCTGCTTGGCTCAATTCACACTAATATTCCATACATCGCACATTGTTTTCCTCACGGTTTTCTTTTTCTTTTTGTAACAGCTATTACATTTCTTTTAGTGGTGAAATATTGACATTTAATGGTGTCTTTTTCCTTGTCTTTTTTTTTTTCTGGCATAATGATTTATTTATTGCACATGGTTTCCATAGTCACACAAAGGAGTTTTGTTTAAACTGGGCTGGAGTTTCTTACAATTTTATGGAAGCTTTTGTTGAAATTTTGAAAGTGTGTTTTCATGAATAAATGCCTTAAAAAGAAGTGTGTCTTTTGCTGTCTTCTGCTTCCAACATCAAAGATCAGACTGTTTTAAATTAGTATTTGATCACATGCAAAGTCCCCTTTAAGGAGCTTAACATTCCCAGGCATGTATCATGCAAGTACAAATCCTTTCTACTGTGTATAAATGGCAAAAGACAGACATCTATGAACATGTTTGCCAATTTTACATTTAAAGAACAGTTTTTACAGCTGAGTGTTATGGTTTCTCTCATACATTTGAGTCAACCGTCTCCTTGTCTATCCTCATATCTCTTTAATGCTTATGAATATCATGGTTGTTATGAGAATTTAATTGAGAATACCTTTTAAATTTCAGTTAAATTCATGAATTTGAATTGAGGTAGTGAACAGTATACAGAATTGCAATTTGTATTTTAATTCTACCTCTTGCAGCTGTGAATGTGGATTTATTGTTAAAGGGATAGTTCGGAAAGAATGCCGGAAACCAAACGGTTAATGAGCCCCATTGACTTCCATTGTATTTTTGGGGGAGTCAATGGGGTCCAACTACTGTCTGGTTTCCAACATTCTTCAAAATATCTTCTTTTGTGTCCAGCAGAGGAAAGAAATTCATACAGGTTTGGAACAACTTGAGGGTGAGTAAGTGATGACAGAATTTGTATTTTTGGTTGAACTATCCCTTTAAGTGTGTATTTTAAATTTGAGTGCGTAATTTATTAGAAAAAAAAAAAAAGAAAGAAAAACCCAATTCATTCAGACATGACATATTTCCAGAAACATTACATTAATTATTAAAGTTTGAAATGCCAGAAATTGCCAGTGTGTAGAATAAATTAGCTGTCATTTTATGGAATTAAATATCAGGCTATTTATCCTGAAGTCTTGTGATAAAAAATGTACTTTGCAAATTAAGGAAAATGTTGACATAATTAGTCAAATTAATGATATAACTTTTGTTTTGTCACATAACTGCTGCAATGTCAAAAGCGTCAGTATATGACACCTTGAGATGAATTGTTTTTAATCCAGTAAATTCCTTCATATTTTGAATGCTGGTTCCAGGTCGACATCCTGTGGATTTGGCTTCGGTTCTAAGGCATAAAGCTGCTGATTAAAAGAAGGAAAGCAACAAAAGATATAAACAACATTTAGAAATCCCAAAGGTGTGCCAAAAATAAAATCTTTTCCTCTCTTTGTCTGAAAATTTCCAAGTGAACACTCGTTGAAATGAGGCCCGTTCGCCGTGTTAAAGAAACCGTATCGAGACCAACCGCACTGCCTTTAGATGCACGGCACGAACAGAAAGGAGCACCAAGGATTTGGAGGTAATGAGCCTGGAAAGACCTCATTCCTTCTCATTTCACTTCTGACCGTTTGAAAAGCCGTGATCTAATGAAGTTTCAGGAATGGAGGGTGCTGCTCATTTCTCTTGCTTTATTTGAATTCAAGGCAAAGTGACCCACTTTCATCTATGCAAAATTAACTTTCAATGTTGCTATACATTAAAACCTGAATATCAAAATCTGTCATTATGACTGTGATTTGATCGGTCATTCTTGCAAAAATGTGACATAATACGCAAAACTCAGTAAGAGTCAACAAGATAGATGTTCCTGGTCTTATTGTTAGTCAGTCCAAATTATTCCAAAGTAAAAAAAAAATACTGTAAAATGCTCAAATTTCATTATTTTATACTAGCTTTCTCTAGGCATGCTCCTTTGATGTCAGTAATCTCTTTTATTTTCACTTGGAAATGCATCAGGATACAGAAGTAAAATGGGTTGTGAAGGTTGTCATGTTAACTTTAAATAGTCAGTCATCACAGTGCCAGAGCTTGGCTTTTTGGTTTGAGGGAGCAAGCTCAAGAAATGGGATAAAGCTTGTTAAATATCTTCAAAGAGGTAATCGATAGAAAATTGCTGAATTTTTTTTTCTTTCGTAACACTTTCAGTTCATATTAATGCATTTCATGAAACTATTTTTACAACATTTATAAAATAAGTTTCATTTATAAAAAAAACCTCTTCATTAATTAATGTTTGTTCATAATATATGAACTAATGTTAATTTATACTTGAAAACGTACATTTGAAATATGTACACCTTTAAAACAATTGAAGTTGTAAATAAAGCATTGATTAGTGTTTTAGAAGAAAATTATATTTCAGTCTTTCTACTTTAAATCTTCTAATATGTGTTCCTTGCTGTTTCTATGTAATTATCAGCCAGTCAGTCACCTGTTAAAGTCAGAGTGATTATGTATTCATGATGATATATCGGTCTGCCAAAGCATTGTTTGCTGGAGTTCAGAGAAATTGGAAGTACTTACAACTTTTTGAACAGAATATTCAATAACATGTTAGGACGAGAATGAGTCTGATTTAGTTTAAAAATGCTTGGCATGGACTTTTGTGTGCTCAAATAAAACTTGGCTTTTGTAGCAATAAACGGCTGCGTGAATCGCTTTGGGTTCCCCTTGTTGAGAAATTGAGTTCCTCATAATTAAAAAAAAAAAGTTGAACTGTAATAAGGCCCATGAGAAATAGTCTAAGCGAAACGAAATGCTTGGTTAAAATTGTACCCTTTTTAAATTCGGTTGGATTGTCAATTAGCTTGTTTTTGAGTCTCTTCTGGGGAAACATTGCTTTTGCATTTTTATCGTGTGTAAGTACAGAAAGTGACAATCATTTTAGAATGACTAGTTATTGGTCAGTAGTACAGCATTTCTTTTGTTTAAAATTCACAAGCTTTTTGTTATACGTACACATTGTTTCATTCAAACAAATCCTTCTGCTTTGTTAAAGTTACTTGTTTTTTTTTAATAAGCCATTATAAGCCTGGCTGTGATGCTAAACAGTTGATTGCATGAGAAATTGTGCAGTTTATTCGATATATTATGCATAAACGAGATGTATTTACTAAAAGCAATGGACTGTTGCATCTCTTGCTCATATGTGTTTTTCCCTTCAGTGGGTTTATTTAGGCTTCTGCTTCAACTGGTTGCCATGAGCAACTTGTTCAGTCAGATGTTCTCTTCCCTGCTAGTTTCTATCCATTAAAATATGCATTCTGCTTGGGCATCAGGACTAAGATTGCACCTGTGTCATCAGAAATGATGCTTGCTATATTGCAGATATTGTAAATGTGTGTCCAGACTCCAGCATAAGTTCTGTTG